AGGGGGGGGGGGGGGACCTGCAAGCGCGAAAGCAGAAGAGCAGAAGGTCTCTCTGTTCACCTGCGTCTGCTTTCCTCCGCCAGACAAACAACCGGGCAAAACGTATCTCCCTCCTCCTTAGTATTCTGGCCACATTTGCACCACTGGTGTTCTATTTTTCAGATCTCGTTTTCTCTCTCTCCTCTTTCCCGGTCACTTCGTCGTCCTTCTTAGACTTAGTGACGAAGCGGACTTGTCCACGAAAGCTCACATTAAAATAATAAGTCTTCTCGGGCTTTTTTTCTTTTTCCACCGTTTTTTTCTTTCTGGCAGCTGTTTTCACACTTCTGCAGGGTTTTTTGTTTGTTTGTTTGTTTTGAGTGTCCCCTCCCCACCTTGGAGGCTCCCCAGTCCTTGCAAGTGCCCCCTATATGTTCGCTCCCGGGTTCCCTGCCCCCGCCTTCGATACCCATATTTTCCTAGATTGGCATTAGATGGTGCTCATCGCCATTTTCTTGGCTGGGCTGCTGCTCTCCACTCCCCTTCCCCGGAGGGGCCAATGAGCATTAGTCCTTCCCTACGTTCACTCCCACCTCCCGCTGCTATGGGGCTGGCAGTGACGTCAAGCCTATACGTACGTCTGTCCTCTGGGCTTCTCGCCTCCTTTCCAGGGTGGCGGAAACTACATCTCCCAGGATGCTCTTCTGCCTTGGGCGCCGTAGAGGAAAGCGCCCCCTCGCCTTTACCGGGAGACTGCAGGGAAGGAGAGAACCGGGACCCAGCGCAGCGCCCCACCCGGGCGGATGCGGTGGCTTCCTTCGGAAAAAGGCCCGTCACCCTTTCCCTTATTATATATTCCTTCAGATGAAACAAATAAATCACTTGCCTGCTGGGGAATGAAATGATACTGTTGGGTGACGGAAGTGCCATTTAGGAAGGGGGCACGTCTCTCCGAAACTGTCCTACAAGATGGGCTCATTGTTCAGCAGCACCTCCAGCTTTGCGGAAATCGATGTTTTTATCCTTCAGGACTACCAACAGAAGGTAATTCCATCCCCCAAACTGAAGGGAGATTGAAGGAGCGCCGCACTTCCCAAATTTCTGGGTTTTCCTCCTCCTTCTCGGTACATGCATTTCTCTCTCTCTCTCTTGGGGGAGCAGTTTTTGCAGTTTCTAACAATTGTTTCTGGTGAAATCCGTTTGTCCAAAACAACAGTGTCTGCAATTCCTAGCATGCCAAAGGCACCGCGCTTACTTGAAATTTACAAAAAGCAAAAGGAAGACCCAGTTTGATCGGATAGTTGCTAGTTATTATCTTTATAAAACCACCCCCGCTACTGTATATCATCAGACCCACACCTAGCATGACCAACAGAGGCCAGGGCATTCATCGAGACAGGAGGTGGCTTTATTAATGGCCCAATTCACCAAGGCAAGGAATCAAATGTCCATAATCCACTAAGTGCACTCAAGTGAACCTCTTCAGTTTTTTGCCCTTCTGTGAGGGGAAGTCAAGCACCTGTGAAGAGAGAAAAAAAAAACACAAGCCCACACTCATCTTGGATGGACTGAGTCATGACAGACGGATGTGTATGTGTGTGAGCTCGAGTAAGAAGAGTGTGCGCTTGCAATGCGTTTTGTGTATACAGCTACAGGCTCTCTTACACATACACATGATAGAACCCCTCCCTTCAAAAATATCTTTGCTTGCTGTCATGATGACGCATATTTTCTTAGCGCCATACGAAAGAAAATGCAACAAATCTTCCTAAAATATAAATAGGCTGCTGTTGTCCTTTGTTTTGTGAGTGCCCCCCCCCCCCAAGATCTGGCCTTTGGACTTCGGTAGAAAACCTTCCTCTTCTACTCACATTTTTTTGCACTTAACCCTTTTTTTCGAGTTGTCCTTCTCCTTATATTCTCCGGCAGTAGTCCAGGGAGAGCCAGATCACTTCCCCCCCACACACACACACCGCTCCAGAGGAAACAGAATGCGCCTTGTTTCGGATATATCCATACTAAAGATGAAAAGTACCCATAACTGAACATAATGGGGGTGAGCATGTCGGGAAAGAGGGGAACAACTGAGGACAGAACATTTCCCCCCCAATTCCCTGAGTGCCAGCCGCAAGAGAAACAGAGCTCGGGAATGGCTAAGTGGGACCATCTCCCCATTAGGCAGAAAAAGTATCACCTAGTCCTACATTTGAAATAATTAAATCAGTCCCTTCCTTGTGGGTGTTCTCTTTTTTCCCCCACCTTGCAGGTAATGGGAACTGGCCTACCCAGGTGTTCCAACTCTTAATTTTTGCCATAGGACCGAGGCACTCTGGGCCAGCCCTCCCTTTTGTTGTCTTCGGATTGGCTCCCAAACCTGTCAGTCAGTAGTGACTGGGCAGCATACTCCGGGCGCGTCGCCTCTCCCCCTTTCCTTCCCCCCCTCCTTCCCGCCGCCGCCCCGTCGAGGTGCGCCTCTCGCCCTGCGCGCTGGTGCGGCTGTAACTCTTTGGGCTGAACCAGGGTGGAAAAACCGGCAGCGCGACGGCGGCGGCAGGAGCGGAGGGCAAGACGCGGACCAGAGAAAGGGTGTGCGTGCGTTTGTGTGAGGGGGGGGCGTACAAGGAAGGAAAGCAGGCGGGGCGGGGGAGGCGGGAGGGACTGTAGAAGGGCAAGCAGGTAGGGCAGCGAAACATTGCCTTTCAGGAGCCCCGGTGGATACTGGCAGCAGGAACGCGGCAGCCAGTTTTCCCCGCTTGTTGAGCTGGTGGGAGAAGGACGAAGGAAAACCAGTGGTCGCGGAGATCCGCCCGCCGTCAGAAGGGAAATCCGGCTCCCGATTCTCTCTTTTGAGTACACCTAAAGGAAGCTTTGCTGTGCCGGGCAGGAGCCCTTGCAGTCTGGCCATGGCTCCGAGATTGGGAAGAGTTAGGCGCTCCTTCCTTTCTTCGCAAAAGCGGCTGCAATCCGCCCCAAGTCCTGGATGGGCATCCTCAAAGGTGATGCGGCGGCCGTCCGTCTGTGCCGGGAGTACGCGAAATACCTCGTGCGGTGGTTAGCTTGGCAGCAGTCCGTCGGCTTTCAGCAGGCAGGGGCATCTGGTTTCTTAACGTGAAACTGACTTTTCGGGTTATACGCATTCGGTTTTTCTCCGCTTCTTTCGCGGTCATAGGTTGCTTTTTCTAAATGACACAACTTACGCAAACACGTGGTACAGTAATTGTATGAAGAGAATAAAATTCTTTTATTGTTTCCCCCTTTTCCCTTCTCATTACATTTCTTTTTTAATTCCTATTCGAGCTAAAAATATTGTCCACAGGTAGTAACGATTGCCGATTGGCTCCGTCGCCTCCTCCGCCTCCTCCGGATTGGTCCGCCGGTATCCAGGAGAAATCACGTCAAACATGCTGGGAGGGAGGGAGGGAGGGGGAGAGTTGGAAGGGT